CTGCTAAAGTTATTGTTGTTTAGCAATGATGCAACATTTAGCCTATTATTTATAAACGATTATTGGTATAAGTAGCCTAGATATCAATTCATTTCTATATCAATGGATGGGTCTATAATTTATTTCGAAAGACAAAAAGTTCTTGATGGTCAGGTTTATGTTCTATCTGGCTTAAACTTAGCTAACCACGTGTAGGTTTAGCTGCCCCTAGTCTTCTCACTTTAAAATTCATTTTCTTTTTAATTTTCTTTTGTTGCCTGTCTTTAGCTTGAGTGAGATGGCCTCTTCTGGTAAGACCCTGTTTACTCCTTACATTAAAACATACTCCACATGGTTTCTGGGGGAACATTACAGTAGATATTGGAAATATATGAACTTGCTTTTTTACAGTCTATGGTGTGAACACACAAAAGACACATTTATAATAGGCATATTGTATACATGTATGTAAATCTCAAGTAAAGAGTTGAACTGCACACTCACTCAAATATTTTGATTATTTCCAACATCATTTCTTAAAATAGCTTACTGACTAAAATGTAGGGTATGTGCACTTAATGTGGGTTTTATCATACTCTGTCTTTACCAAATTCTTTTTAACTTGCATCTCATAAAGGTGTGTTTGCTTTAGCTATAAGAAAATGAAAATCTCTCTCTAAACTTAAACACTCATCTTTTTTTTTACGACTTACAAAATAAACTTACAGAGACATACATGGACGTGGTTTTAATGTAATTTTCAATTTTCTCTGCACAGTCCATCATTGGTGGCCAAAAGAAATTAAAGTGGCTTGACACTTTTTTCACTATTGTTCCACCTACAAGTGTGCCGTTGTACATTGAAGATCAGGAGCAAATTGATGCAATCCACACACACCTGACATCAATTCTGCACACACACACGATAAAATCACCATGGATGTCCTTTTAAAAAATAGTTAATGAAGAGGGGCAAACCATAGGGGAGTCATGGAATTTTAGAAAAGGGATAAATTGTGTTTGTCTTCATAAAATGCTGTGTAGGACACTGTTTTGTAGCTGTATGACGACCAATAGAGAATAGTACAGCTAATCAAGGATCCATATGATTACACGGTACTGTATGTCTAATGGGCTAAATTTGGTTAATATCTAAATGTAACTATAAATTCACAACAACATATTTCACTCAGTCTTCCATATAACAACCTACGGTGAATAGGCCTATAACTGCAGTAGGTCATATACTTGTCATAACATAGTTGATCCAATTGTGTATTTTTAAATGTTCAATTCACAAAAACACATAGGCTTGTCTTCTGTAGGCTGAGTGAAGAGAGTTAAGCCCAACTGAATAGCTACAGACATTTTAATCCGTGCAGATCTACACTGTAACGTTTATATTTAAATGAACAAAACACACAAAAAATGTCTATGGACGGGTTATTAATGTGTAAGAGTCAATTTATATGTTATTTCGCAGTATATCCCCCTACTGGACGCATCAGGAACAACAGGGGCGTAAAACTGTCAGGGGCGTAAAACTGCCAGGGGCGTATATCTGCCGGCTCCAGGTCTGCAGCCTCCCCATATAGTTTTGATTAGACTGTTTCATCAGTCGACCGCCACAAAGCTGCTTATGGTGTAAAACACGCTTTTTCAATGCTACCTCGCTGTGTGTGAAATTGATATGCGACAACAGAACTCGTTCAAATCTCCGCGATATTTCAACGGTCAAACTGATAACATCTCCAGGAGTAATCGCTGTTATTTTAGTGTACTACGCGCTGCTCTCAGGGCAGGAGTGCTCAATAGATTCAAATCGCTGTTATTTTAGTGTATTACGAGCTGCTCTCAGGGCAGGAGTACTCAATAGATTCAAATCGCTGTTATTTTAGTGTACTACGCGCTGCTCTCAGGGCAGGAGTACTCAATAGATTCAAATCGCTGTTATTTTAGTGTATTACTCGCTGCTCTCAGGGTAGGAGTACAAATCGCTATTATTTTAGTGTATTACACGCTGCTCTCAGGGCAGAAGTTCAAATCGCTGTTATTTTAGTGTGTTACGCGCTAATCTCAGGGCAGGAGTACTCAATTCAAATCACTGTTATTTTAGTGTATTACACGCTGCTCTCAGGGCAGGAGTGCTCAATAGATTCAAATCGCTGTTATTTTAGTGTATTACACGCTGCTCTCAGGGCAGGAGTACAAATCGCTGTTATTTTAGTGTATTACACGCTGCTCTCAGGGCAGGAGAACAAATCGCTGTTATTTTAGTGTATTACACGCTGCTCTCAGGGCAGGAGAACAAATCGCTGTTATTTTAGTGTATTACACGCTGCTCTCAGGGCAGGAGTACAAATCGCTGTTATTTTAGTGTATTACACGCTGCTCTCAGGGCAGGAGAACAAATCGCTGTTATTTTAGTGTATTACGCGCTGCTCTCAGGGCAGGAGTACAAATCGCTGTTATTTTAGTGTATTACGCGCTGCTCTCAGGGCAGGAGTACTCAATAGATTCAAATCGCTTTTATTTTAGTGTACTACACGCTGCTCTCAGGGCAGGAGTACTCAATAGATTCAAATCGCTGTTATTTTAGTGTACTACACACTGCTCTCAGGGCAGGAGTACTCAATAGATTCAAATCGCTGTTATTTTAGTGTATTACGCGCTGCTCTCAGGGCAGGAGTACAAATCGCTGTTATTTTAGTGTATTACACGCTGCTCTCAGGGCAGGAGTACTCAATAGATTCAAATTGCTGTTATTTTAGTGTACTACACACTGCTCTCAGGACAGGAGTACTCAATAGATTCAAATCGCTGTTATTTTAGTGTACTACGCGCTGCTCTCAGGGCAGGAGTACTCAATAGATTCAAATTGCTGTTATTTTAGTGTACTACGCGCTGCTCTTAGGGCAGGAGTACAAATCGCTGTTATTTTAGTGTATTACGCGCTGCTCTCAGGGCAGGAGTACTCAATAGATTCAAATCGCTGTTATTTTAGTGTACTACACGCTGCTCCCAGGGCAGGAGTACTCAATAGATTCAAATCGCTGTCATTTTAGTGTACACTCAAAAAAAATGACTCTCTGAATTAGGGGTGGGGGAAAAAATCGATTCTTAGATGCATCGCGATGCGGACGTGGACGATTCTGAATCGATTCACAATTGTCAAAAATCGATTTTCAACAAAAAAAATTTTTTTTTAGATATATATTTATAATAACGTAATATTGACGGAACGCGAAAGACGGAACTCTGAAGCGCGGAAGTGCAGTGGCCGGACCGTCTGTGGCGTGCACATAACAGACGCGGACGCGATGGCTGAGCGCCAAATCCAAACACCCTCCTCGTTAAAAGCTGACGTGTGGAAATATTTTGGCTTCTGAAGTTGAAGGGGGAAAGGAGCTGGACAAGAGCCACACTAGTTGTAAGCTTTGTAGAGTAAAACTAAAATATTTCGGAAACAAGACACATGAAGCCAAATGACACGTTTCCAGCCAGAGGAGGAAAAACACTCGGCTGTAACGTTACCGGTCGTTGTTATATTATTAATTTACTACAAATATGCTGCTGCTAGTTCAGACACACATGTATTTTCCTGTTGGTTCTTTGCAATGTTAATAAAATATATTGTACGTTAATTCTTTATGGGTCATTACTTTGTACTTTTAAAGCAAAGTATTTATAGTCACACACACACAAAAAAAAGATTCTGATAATCGATTTAGCATCGAATCGCAGCCCTCTGAATCGTAATCGAATCGAATCGTGAGGTGCCTAGAGATTCCCACCCCTACTTTGAATGAACATAAAATAATCATGGAAAGGATTTCCACATGATTAACTTGCTTTTTTTTCAGCATTATGCAATTCTGTTATTCCAATTTAATGTACTTGCGTTGGGTCAACTTAATTTATTAAGGTTGATTCAACTTATTTACTATGGTTGGGCACAGCTTAATTTAATAGTGTCAGCCCAACTAGTTTACAATGTTTTGGACCAACTAATTTACTTAATTTGCATTCAACTTATCCAATTTAAGTTAGCCTAACAAAAGTGCTTAATGCTGAAAGCCATTTAATCACGTGGAAATCCTTTCCATGATTTAATTACATTAATTCAAAGAATACCTTTTGTGTTAATACATTAAAACCTTTTTAACAAACTCTAATGGTGGAAACAACACACAACAAATGAGAAAATGTGCAATCAAATTGTATTTCCAAAATTATAATGTACATTGTTTTACACAGTGCAGTTGATTGTTGAAAAAACAAGGAAATATATCAAGTCTGTTATGAGAATACAGGGAAATGGGCCCTCTCACTCTCATCCCACTTAATTTACTCTTAACATTTGCACTTTGTACATCTTGCACCTGTGGTTTTATGTGATGGTGAACTCGCACAGAAGTTAATTAAAAGTATTTACCAAAGTTAGATTTTTTTTTTTTTACATATTTTAAATGTTTACATTGAAACGTCGCTATAGGGAAATTTTTTAAACAAGTTTCAACAATGTCTACAGTATGGTTGGCATCAAGGGTAAAAACAAGACAAATGGAGATCCATGAAGTTTAACTCCCGAAATATGTAAATGTTTAAACTTTAAAAAAAAAAAAAACTTAAACATAGGTTAGTCTTAATTTTGTTATGATAAACTGAAAAAATAAATCAGCATACAGCTTTCCTTAAATGCCAATAGACTGGACCTTGTATCGGAGAGAACATTTTTTTAATAAAAACAGAGCACAAAAAATAACCCAGATGAGCTGAACACTGATATACTGGGAAATGGGGCCCTGTCTTTACACTCACATTCCTCTATAGATTTGCACTTACTAACACCTGTAGTTTAATGTGCTGGTGTACCTAAACAACAAAACAGAAGGTACAAGTTTTCTTATCGTTTTTTAGCCACTGGTGGGTGGTCTTGGGCACTGTTTTTAGGATAGAAATCAAATTCCAAATATAAATATAAGTAAATAAAATATCAGTAAATTTGCTCAACTATTAGAACTATAACTACTTTTAAATCTTGTTTTGGATTGCACAGGGTCTTTAAGGACTGATTATAAATGGTGTAGCTTTTGCTATGGCTATGTTTCTTAACGGGAAAGCAGTGTTTTGAGAACTTGCACTTTGTTGGATAGTTTGTTTCCATTCAATTCCATAATGATCTTCTGCAGAACCTCAAAAGTGTACTTGAGCTCTTGGGGGTAGCTCAAGTTTAGCGCGTAGACAAGACCCAGCAACATCACCACAGCAAAAGCTACATTGCCCAACTCACTCATCACTTCCACCCCCTCCAGGACAATCCCAACATCCGCGGGGTCATCGCCAGGCTCTGCACCTTCTGGTTGAATGACAAAGATTCCAAATACTGTCTCCGCTATGGCCATTTGAGTGTTTTCATCGACATCCTGTGACAAAAAAAAAAAAAAATGAACGAGGACAAAGATTTTTTTTACTGATGTGCATTACATGCATATTTATAGCACACAATCTTTACAGTATTACTGTAAAACAGCTATCACTAACTTAATCCATATTCATAATATAATGCAAATGTAATAAAATAACCAATTGACATTAAAATTGTTTCGCTGAGTCTGTGAAATACTTCAACAACTAAGCCATACCAAGTGTTGTAATCATAAGTTCAGTGTTAGTTATTCCATTCGAATAAAGGTATATTGTCTTGCGACATCCATCATTATCCAATTATTTCCTGTCTCCGTCTGAGAAAGGAGAGGACTTCTCAAAAGTCAGTGTGTTTATACCCTCCCCCTTATTTAAGTGACCCTCCACAACAGCAAGTGACTTGATTTGGAGTGACAATTGGTAGTAAAGTTGTAGCAGGTAGGGGGCGGTTTAGGATTGCACTACAGTAAGGTGTGAGTGAGAGAAGAAGATTGTTTTAATGGCCTTATCTTAACCTAATTTTAAATCTAATGGGAACACACAGGAAACCCCATCCACTCAAACTCTGATAATCTCTACAGTGAACACATAAATTACCATACCAGGTATTGCTTCACCAGCTTCTCTGGATCTTCATTAAGGTACACGCAGAGACCTTTGAGGATGCATTCTCTTCTCACTTCAATAGTGTTAGTCTTCATATAAAGATCAGAGAAAAAAAAAAAACACTATGAACACCATTTAAACAACCAGCAGTGTAGGTTTACACACTTAAGAATATTAAACTAAATTCACAGGAAGTCACAACATGTTTGCTAGTATTGTTTACAGCTTGGATGTATGTTAATCCCTTTGGGATAGTCTGTTTAAAAGTTATTTAAGACAAATCTTTGTTATTTTACTATCATTTACTACTTTGTTTTCCTTTAATCATGTCAAGATTCAAATTAATCTATCTTAACCTAGGTAACCTACCTGAAGATGTAGATTTTACACCTAAGACATATTTTTGCCTGAAATGTTTGAAAAACAGACCATTCCACTTTATATCCTTCAAGATTTACGATAATCACAGTGGCCAATGTGGTAAGAATACCTGCCATCTTCATTTAAGACAGGACGATAAAAGGGACAGATTCTGAGTGCTTTATGTCAGACGTGTATAACAGTATACAGTGCCAATGCTTTATCTGTGCTTCAAAACTGCTTTCAAAAACATAGAGTTTAATGATTTCAGAGCAGATTTTTCAGGATTAAATGATGCCCCTCTCTCTTAAACAATGACCCCTAATGGGGGAACAGATGTGGTGCTCAGTCATTTCTACAATGACCAAGTTTTAAGTGATTTTTGTCACTTTTACATTGGTATCATACCTGGGTTATGGGTGCCATGATGGTCTTGATTTTTCTCCCTTGAACTCCACCTTTCTTGGCATACGCCTTTATCAGGTTTGCAGAGTGAACATCAAGCTCGGAGAAGAACTTTGACTGCAAATGGACCGTTGTGATTCTCTTGAACTCTGCACTCACCTACAAAAAACATAACAAAAAAAGTAGACAAAACTCACGTTAACTTTTTGGTACACATTTGAAATAGCAGTTCTATCTGTTCAAGAAATGTAAATGCAAAATACATGTATTTATATAAATATTAGTTTCCTTTGTCAGAAGGCCAGCAAAGGCTGCTATTGCTGGCCTTCAGTAAATCCTCATCAGTTTGAGTAACCTCAGATTCTGTCAACATTAGGGGTGGAACGGTACACAGAAGTCACGGTTCGGTTCATACCTCGGTTCAGACATCACGGTTCGGTACGATTTCGGTACAATGGAGGGAAAAGCAAAACAAAAATGCAGAAGGCATTATATTTTTTAAATAAGTTGTATTAATAAAGGCATAGAACCAGTTTATTTGTAGTGCACTGTCAATAGTTTTATATAATTAGTTTATTAATTAAATTAATAAAAAGACAAAAAGACCTTGCGATATGTTTGGTAATTGTACAATTAATTTAAAATTATTTTGCTATATTTCAGATCAATATATTTGTTTTCCTTAATTTTAATTAACATTATTAATTGACAATGTAACATTATTCTCATCTGAATTATAAATAATTGATTTCTGTATAAAATAATACTACCATTAAAAACATTCGATTTTCTTTTTTTAATCAATGTAGAATGTGTAAGATTAGTGCTCCGAGGACAAGAAATGAAAACCAATGCAATATGATGAATGTCCAAAAGATGGGACCCATAGACTGTTTTGAAATGGAGTTGGATAAATATGTTTTGCTTTTAAAACAGTGTGTGTGTGTGTGTGTGTGTGTGTGTGTGTGTGTGTGTGTGTGTGTGTGTGATTTTGGTTGGGTGACAGTTGTAGGTTACAGTTTGACAAGAGTTTACAGTGTGACAAAAGCACAATGTTGTGTTTTATTGCGAGTGTACACAAATATAAGTAAACACTTTGCAGGTTTAATGATCTGTATGAACAAAATGACGGAGTATGTTTTTTATGTTTCCACTGTTCGATCGCGCGCCTCTCTCGCTCTCTCAGTTCGATCGCGCCCGCGCGTCTCTGTCTCTCTCTCTCTCTCTCTCTCTCTCTCTCTCTCTCTCTCTCTCTCTCTCTCTCTCTCTCTCTCTCTCTCTCTCTCTCTCTCTCTCTCTCTCTCTCTCTCTCTCTCTCTCTCTCTCTCTCTCTCTCTCTCTCTCTCTCTCTCTCTCTCTCTCTCTCTCTCTCTCTCTCTCTCTCTCTCTCTCTCTCTCTCTCTCTCTCTCACACACTCCAGCATTGCAATCTTGACATCGCAGCCTGTTCATTATGCGGTCACCACGGTCACACCAAACGCGAATAGAGCGTCAAATAGTCCAAAGCGAATAGGACGCGCGTATAAAGCCAACGTTTGAACGCGCGTTCAGAGCTAAGCCGATGGTAGGCTACAGATTATGTGTCCCTAAAGAACCCGCGTATCTAACAGTAGTTCCGCATTACATTAATTAATTTGCACGCGAGTTTTATTTATTTTTATACCGTGTATTCTCCGTGTAAATTCGTGCACCGAACCGTGACGCCCGTACCGTTTCGGTTCGATACGAATACATGTACCGTTCCACCCCTAGTCAACATGTATTGTGACACATCCAGTGCAGTTATTCACTTACCTCACGCACATTGAAGAGAGCTGGCCACCTCGTTTTAAAATCAGCTATCATGGGGGCCTCTGCAACTACCTCTTGCCTTCTGAGTGCAAAGGTCTTGTCCATCATTGCCGCCAACTTGTGCTCATGGTTTCTCTTCTTTACTTCAGAGAGGAGTGCCACTCTTATCTCTTCTAGTGTCTCAGCTGTTTCACCGGCCGGATAGGTGGGGCAGTAATTCACTTCGGCTTTTTTCGGCTTCTTTACACCATATGCAGGACTGCATTTGCTCTCAGGTTTGTGTGTTAAGGCATTCACAGTAACTTCAGGGCATCCAAGCTGTCTGAGTTTTGTTCGGTAGTTAGCAAGTTTATACTTCAGGCTTGTCTTCCATCCGCCATACCCAGTCACTGAACCTGGCTCTTTTAAACATGGATGTGTAGTTACCAGAGCTTCTGCTACCTCATCAAACTCCCTGTCAGAGAGGTACACTTTGTACTTGACGATCGTTTCAGCTAAGCCATCAAGAATAGCAGATTTAAGTTTAGTATTAGGATTCAACAAAGCTCCAGTTTCTTTAAAAGCAGCATTGGCCCTGTCCAGCTGTAGCTGAGTATCATAAGCAAACCTAACATAAACAAACAAAACATAAAAAACGACGAGGAGAAGGAGAAAGTAGAAAATAAGATGAGGAGAATCATTTGAAGAAAGGTGCTGCTGTATGTGACTCTGTGCCATCCCTTTGCTGTTGCTTTGGTCTGAATCTGTACCAATTATGCTCCATTCATTTGAATATATGAAATCAAAATTAAGAGCTGGGAAATAAATGTGACATTATGAAGTCACACTTCCCTGAAATAAGAGAGTCCATTGAGATCTATTCAATATTAAAGAAAACAAACCTTATGTTTATGTATCTTTTTAATGTCACCAGTCTTAGAGGTCCAACAAAGTAGTCTGCCAAAGGGTAGTCATCGGCCAGTTCACCAAGTTCAATCAGAACAGTTTCTCTGGTAGGATGTACACTCAGCTCAAACGCTCTGAAATGTTCCCTGTACCACCCAGAAAGCCTTCTCACCATGAAACAGTCTCTCCTGAACAACACAAATCTGAATAATCTCTCCAAAGTCAGGGAGTCCACTTGTAGAACCATGAGCGACTATCATCCCATTTCTGAAATGTACACCTTTGCTTGACACATATTTAGAAAGGTGAACTTCCGTTGTACCAGGGAAGTTCTTTTCAATAGTCTGAGCTATTTCTTGTTTCAAACAATCCAGAGGAACTGTTGAGACGTTTGTAACCTCTAGGGATGTTTCTTCAAAACTGGATGATCTCAAGTGATATGAAATCATAAGCTGATGCTTAGTGGCTAGCGAGAGGGGCACATTTTTAAAGCAATTGGTGTGTCGCACAACCTGCTTAAAAAAACTGTGTTTGGCCTCAAAACGCATTGTCCAGAGGCACACAAGAGGCCCAAACATCCTTATCAGTTGAGGATAGTGCTCCAAATAATGATGTTTTGGGAGCAGTTGCACACCAGGGAAGAGTTCTTGGTACTTTTGCCTGTGCTCAGAAATTTTGCCCTCAAGATAGGCAATGGACTCATCTGTGTGTGTTGGAGCAACCACAAGCTCTACAATGTCTTTTAAGTCCAACAGTATTTGCCATGCCATTTCACCCTCAGGCACCAGGTGCCCAATTATGAATGGGAGTAGTCTTATTAGAGCCCAATTTTCATGGGCGTTTCCACCTATTGTTGCCCTGGTTGAAAAGGTGTGTGGGATCACATGTGGCCTATTTGTCTTGTCGGCCCACTTGTAAGGAAAGTGCAGGATGGATTTGTTGAGGGTTTGAAGACTGAAATACTTCTTGGATATAAGCAATGCCACACACCGTGCAAGCTCCACTGGCACTATGCCCTCAAACAGATCATGCATAATATCTGGAGGATAGCCTGTGTGAACGCTGAAGTGGGCAAGTGTTTCGGTGATAACACAATGTCTTTTCACCCCAAAACAGCTTGTACCATTCTCCTGAGCTGAGGTCACATGAGAATCATGGAGTTCTTTTGTCCTTAGGGTGAATGCACCTGATTTTACTTCTTTTGTTTGGATGTCTGTTTTTGTTCCTGTGCAAAATCGGCAGATATACCCACTTGAAAAGCTCTCATTAAAACCTGCAATACTGTGAGCACCCAAGTTATCTGCCGCAACAACCTGAATCGTACCTTTAACACATCTGCCAAGTAATGGAATGAAAACTCCATCTTGCTCCAGAGTTTTCATGTCTTGAAGAAGAGGATGTAAGACACGGTCATAACCATACTTATGTACATCATCAGTATGGCACAACAATGCCAAGTAAATTGATGATAGTGATGAATATGAGCCTGGAGGCAAATTACCCAGAGTCCAGTACATTCCACAAAGCTTATGTGTCCTGCGAGAAGTACCCAGAGGATTGCAAACCTCAAAATCATCTATGTATAAACGTAACAATATCCTCATCTCATCCCCTGACAGAAAAATGTTTTGCTGGAAGTGTGAACCATCCTGAGGAGATTTGTAAGTGTTGGGTCCACCACTCGCCCTTTTACTCTGCTGTGCTCTGTGGTTTTCTTCTACCCTGTCCACAACATCTTTCTTAAAGAGTTGCTGCAAAGACTTCAGTACAGGAACATACTGAAAACTTCTGTTTTCTTTGGCATCAAGAACATATTCAATGGGTTCTACAACGTTAAAGCTTTCTTGATAATACTTTTTGCGGAGATAAGTTGAGCTTAGGGGACCCCCCTTCTCTATGGATTTGAGCAATGGATGAGAAGTGCAGAGAGCAGTTGCTACTTCTGTTACCACAGACCTATCAGTTGTGGGACTATGTTTCTGAAATACCCCTTCAAGAATGTCAATGGAGAGGGGTAATGTTGCTGAACTTAAGTAGTGCAGTTCCTCTAAGAACTCATCAATTTTTTTGCCTGGGACATGTGCAAAATGCTCTAACTTGAGCAACGCTGCGCAAAATTATTCTCAATTACTTCAGGCAAGTTATTGGTTACATCTACATCACTATTTGAACATGCACTGTCTGCTTCAACTGCAGAGTCATCTTGATTGCCTGCATCATCCTCAGGATTATGAGAGGATTCTTGTGAAACTCGAGTGTTTCTAACCACGTCTGGCTTGAAATCTTTCAATGTATGTCGACTGTGTTTCCTGTTCTTGTGAGAGTGAAATGTTCCATATACATTTGTTTGAAAATTACAATCCCCAAACATACAAGGAACAGTTTCATTACTCTTCAAATGAGTGCCAATGTGTGAAAAGTAATCATTCTCTGTAGGAAGATCACAAGTGCACAAATGACAACTATAAGTTGACAATTCCTGTAGCTCCTGGGTGTTTTGTTTAGGATGGACTCTACTCAAATGAATGTGCAAAGCATTCCATGTCTTAAAAGTACATGGGCAGTTTATGTGTGGGCATGGGTAACGTTGCATATGCCGGTGCTGAAGTCTAAAATGTTTTAGTAGGTCATATCTACCAGACAGAGATAGACTACACGCCTTACACTTCCACATCCCTCCCACACCCCCACTCCAATAGAAAAATTAATCTAAACAAACTGGGCAAATACAGGTTTGGCTGGACCCTAGCATCATTAGCATGTCAACATTGGAATCAGTCAGTAAGACAAATTCACTGTTTTAGGCCAAAACTATTCAGGTCTGGCAAAACTCACAAATAACTTGATGATGGCCGATGACCCCCTTCACCAGTACTCATGTGGTTGGATGGCAGACAAGTGTTGTTCTGAAAGAGATCCGATAAATTTACATCCATTAAAATATTTAATTTACAACCATTAAAGTATTTATGTATCTTGTATTCAAAACTAAAATATACATTTTATCATACGCATTTCAAATATAACGATTCATTAGTTTGAATAAAGCCTACATTGGAACCAACACTATAATAACATCTTAGTTGATGACTTTATTTTTGACAAAACATAATATATATATATATATATAAATTGGCGAACAACAGCTTATTTGATGTGGCAGTAGTCTATTTTAGAGTAAAAAAATATATAATCTATCCAAAACTAGTCAACGAAATGTTGTCTTTCATATTTCGTCTGTAACATAGGCATATCGTGTTGTTTTTATAATATTTGAGGGCATATAAATGTTAATTTGCAGTTTAATACGTTGCTTATATAAAGACATTTAATTTTAACATATTTCAGTCGATTTTACTCATCTCAGTATTGCATTATAGTTTGGTAAAAGCTGTTCATCCATTCACACACAGACGCGATTCATAAAACAGTCTTTTAGCGTTTGCATTCACTATTCCATATCGCGATTAGAACAAAGCACTTAATAATAAAAAACTTACTATTCAGTTGCTCCTCGAAAATTAATTTTAAACCAGCACTTCGGAGGTACATTTCCCAGGAATATTCCTCACAGCCTCGCAATACGACGTAAAGTACTGTAATCTGATTAAACTTGTTGTGTTTTAGTTGATATGGGCTTTGTTTGCATGGATCGCCTCAGATCATTTGTGTAGTGCGCGCTCTCCGTGGGCGTGGTCACAATCACATTAAAAGATAGAAGCTATAATGATTTGAAATGAGAACGACTGACATCTCTCTCTTTTCATACAGATTACATAAACAGATATGTGTTTTATTTGTTATGAATCAGACAATTTAAAAGTAGACACGTAAATGATTAAAGATATAGCTCATGCCTGGGTTAATAGTAGGCTATTCATTAGTTTAGAGATGTGCTCCCAAAAAAAAAGTTCACGGTGATGGAGAGCCAGAAAGCACACCCTGTTTATTTTCTTTATTTTACAAAAGCACAATGTTTTATTTAGATTGCAAGTGGACACATAAAAAGACATTTAACAGTTTATTTTTCATATTTCTTAAGTATGAAGTATGCTGCTGTGAAAAAAAAAAATCGACCAAAACACGCCGGCGCGTTTGCCGAACCTAGAGGGGTTTAAGCCAAACAACATAAAATAATGTGTTGGACACCTACAAGCACATGGCAGGCAAAACGTGGCGCAAAGGGTAGAGAAACGCCTTGATTAACTGCGAGCCAACTATCGTCACGTTAGCTAACATGAATATGTCAGCATGACATTAACAGCCTGAGTAGCCTACAAAAATAACAAACAAGCATGACCAAATATTGCTGAAAATGATGGACAGTCTGTTAATGGCTTTATACACATCGTTTTGTTTGCATTTAGATGGATGAAAACAGATTTTATCTTACCTTTTCCAAATGAACGCCAGGCAAGTTCTTCACGTGATAGTCTCGTTATATTCCTGGGCACGCGGTTTGTCATCTCGCGTGATCTCGCTAGTCAGACTGATCTCATGAAATGGCGTATGTATGACACGCCAATTCGTATTTTCATTTTTGGCGTGCTATCAACACGCATAATCGCTTTTCAGCGTGTTTATCAACGCCTTTGACTTAACGTTATATTACTGTATTATGTATATATGACCTACCCCAACCCCGTCCCTAAACCTACCCGTCACTGGGGTTAATACCATTTATGAGTCTTCTCCTACCATCCTAGGAAAAGAAATATCGCTCGCCAGATGTAGATATAGATTTTGCTTCGTTTCGCTCGGACATTTAACGGCGTACACATACACGCGGAATCACTCGGACATTTAATGGCGTAGACATACACGCAAAAGATTTCGGCGTGGACATACACGCGGATACCTCAAAATGCGTATAGATAACACGCCACTTGAATTGAAAGTGGCGTGTATGTTTACGCAAAGTCATGATGTCATCTTCGGTGCAAGATCAGTCTTACTATATTGAATCACGTTATCTCAACATGACTGAATTTAACAAATGTTAATTTGTTGCATTTCATGCTTAACCTACATGATTTTATCACGTTCACCTTTGAAACATGAAATTATTTAGTTAAAATTACACATTATGCTTTTTTAAATAACCAGCTAATTTCCTTTTTTTGAGTGTACTACACACTGCTCTCAGGCAGTGGTGGAGGAAGTACTGAATCTCAGTACTTAGTACAAATAACCAGAGACATATTTACTTTAGTAAAAGTAGAAGTACCACAATGACAACCCTACTTAAGTAAAAAGTAAAAAGTACCTGATTTTAAATGTACTTTAAGTATTAAAAGTAAAAGTACTTGCATAACAATTTATTCTCTTAATGTCTATATTCTAATGATTAATAAAACAGTTAATTCTAACTCATTCAACCTAATACTCATATAATGATGTTCAATATGATGGAAAAGCAGTTATATTTTATGTTTTTGTCACCATTTCTGAACAAGCTTGCAATTAGGCAATATATACATCAAGCTTACTATATACCTTTACTATATACAGTGTATATATATATATAAATACACATATTATGTTAAAACGCCGTATATGACGGCGTTTGGCTGTAAACGCAATTCATTTATGGCGTAATTCTGAACCTCTTGGCTTGCCATACTAATCCATCCTAACCAAACGTATAATACACACGCACCCCACATCACTACTAAACCTACCAATGCGTTTCCTATGCATGTAAAAACTAATTTTCGCGTATAAATTGCACGATAAACACACTGCGTGCTATAGAGACGCATTTAGTGTGACCGGGTTGATATATCTATGGCAACCACCAAACTTCACTGGTGAGACAGAAACGTGCGATGAACGGATGGTCAGGATGACGTTTTGGCAGGGGAAAAACTGATCAGAAAATTTAACGAAAATGTAACAGAACGTTGTAGAAATGTAGTGGAGTAGAAAGTATAATAATTGCTGCAAAATGTAACGAAGTAAAAGTAAAAAGTATGCACTATTGATTCTACTTAAGTAAAGTACAGATACGTGAAAAATGTACTTAAGTAAAGTAACGAAGTATTTGTACTTCGTTACATTCCACCACTGCTCTCAGGGCAGGAGTACTCAATAGATTCAAATCGCTGTTATTTTAGTGTACTACATGCTGCTCTCAGGGCAGGAGTACTCAATAGATTCAAATCGCTGTTATTTTAGTGTACTAGTACGCGCTGCTCTCAGGGCAGGAGTACAAATCGCTGTTATTTTAGTGTATTACGCGCTGCTCTCAGGGCAGGAGTACTCAATAGATTCAAATCACTGTTATTTTAGTGTACTACATGCTGCTCTCAGGGCAGGAGTACTCAATAGATTCAAATTGCTGTTATTTTAGTGTATTACGCGCTGCTCTCAGGGCAGGAGT